TTAGGATTCCCCCCCATCTGCCGCGCCGTTTGAGACCGACTGCGGCTGTTTACTGCGCCGGCGTCAGGAAGTGGCTTTGAAAGACCCGCCTGTGCCGCTAAAACGCGCAGAGCGGCCCCCGTGATCAGCGCCGTGCCTGGTACCCTGGGCGGCAGCGGCGGGGTCCTCGAGACTCCCACTGCGTCTCACGCATGCTGGCAGCGAGCTGCGGTGTCGCATGTCTCAGAGGGCCCCAGGGGGCGCCGTAATCCGCATGCCTTTCATTTGCCAGCAAGCAGCCGTCGCACGGTATCACCAGCGGCAGTTGTGTCAGGCGTGCCATGCTATGACACCTTTTGTCAAAAGAATGCCTTTAAAGTTGAAAGAAAGCTCATTTAAAACCTCAACAGAAGCTTAAAAGCTTTGTAGCCCATCCTGGCTGTTTCCGTGCCGCCGCGACGAAGCCGCGAGGCTCGCAGTGGAAGGAGGCGTCTGGGTCGGCACTCTCGGCTCAAAGACGCCATTGTCACCACAGAAGCGTCCGGAATGGGCATCGCGCTCCGGGAAAACAACAGCTTATTACTCCTAGAAGTCGTCAGCGAATGCCTGGTCACACAATGGCGTTTTGTTCACCAGCCTCCCTGCAAGAAGAGATCTCCTACGTAGCATTCCTCTCCAAATCGCCATGCTCCGAGGAGAGGGGTTGCCCCGCCTGGGGAGGGCTGTCAGCTAACCGTGAACATAACTCCATCCCCTGACAACAGCCGGGAAAAAGATCACAGATCACATCCATAAATTTCCATCCATCTTACATAACCGCTTATCCCAGAAGGGTCATGGGGTATGAGGCAGGGGACACCCTGGACGGGATGCCAGTCCATCACAGGGCACAGGGCAGGGGACACCCTGGACGGGATGCCAGTCCATCACAGGGCACAGGGCAGGGGACACCCTGGACGGGATGCCAGTCAATCACAGGGCACAAGGCAAGGGGACACCCTGGACGGGATTCCATTCCATCACAGGGCACAGGGCAGGGGACACCCTGGACGGGATNCAGGGCAGGGGACACCCTGGACGGGATTCCATTCCATCACAGGGCACAGGGCAGGGGACACCCTGGACGGGATGCCAGTCAATCACAGGGCACAGGGCAGGGGACCCCCTGGACGGGATGCCAGTCCATCACAGGGCACAGGGCAGGGGACACCCTGGACGGGATGCCAGTCCATCACAGAGAACAGAATAACAACCTGTAGCCAATTTAGAGACGTCAACTGACCTAACCTGCAGGAAGGAACCTGCACAAACATACTTCCCCATACTTGTGATTCAGTGATTATCTTTGAACAGACTCCCACAATATACTGTATATGCTGGCTTCCACTAGACTCTGGGGATGGGAAAACAAAACACCAGCGGGATGTGTGTATGTGGGGGCGGGTGGGGCGGGGCAGGGTGGGGCTAGGGGGGGTGATGTTCAGTACCAATACACGAACTCCCGCGCCTGTAAATGGTACTGCTGTCATTCTGCCCTCCCATTATCGCCTTAGTGCCACCCTGCATACGCATGTTGGCACTGCCTCTAATCACAGTAGGTGATGGGTTCTGGGAAGGTGCTGAAACGTAACAACATTCATTTACTTCTCTGAAAGAAACTCATTTATAAGATGCACAGTTTTTGTTTTTAAGAACAGCAAAGGTAATGATAGCGAGGTTTTAAATCAAACTATCAGTCAGGGAGCATGTATTGTCCTCTCATTACATTATAGACTTTAGATGTATTTATTTATGCCAATATTATGTTTATCCATCTTTCATAATTGATTATCCTGTATCCGGTGGCACAGGGGATGAGGCAGGACGCATCCTGCACGGACTTCCCATCCATCACAAGGCTCACACTCACACACAGAACCAGTCACTGTGGGAAAATGGGAACTGCCAATCGCCGGCCCGAGGACGGCAACCCTGCCGGCCCGAGGACGGCAACCCTGCCGGCCCGAGGACAGAAACCCTGCCGCGAGAAAATAAACCCTGGTGTATTTCCTCAAAGGTGTATGTGTCCGGATCCAATCAGCAGAGTCTCTCTCAACCTTCAAGAAATTCCCCAGAGCTGATCTTTTCTGGGAAAACCTCAAATAACTTATCAGACCACTGACCTGCTCCGTCTTTGCCTGCCACCCTTGGTTACGGCCTCTCAGATGCAGAACCGCGCGCTCCTGCATTTCGTACTTGTCTCATCGGAACATAGTCCGTATGGCGCTTTTGATTTGAACAGCTGTTCTGTTGGGCTCTTGCAGTGTTTCACAAAGCAACACTCTAGCTACCGTTACTGATCACTGTTATATATACCTAAGCTGGCTCCTTGACAGCTGTCTGCTTGTGATGTATTATCTGCCGCCCTTGTACATTGCTTTCGACAAAAGCAACTGCTAAATCAATAAGTGTAAATGTAAATGTAAACCTGCCCGAGAACATACAAACTCCACACAGACAGCCAGGGATGGGAATTATACAGGCAGCTACAGAGGTGTGATGCTCCGTCGCTATGCACTGCGCCGCGGTGCCACTGTGCCGTGTATCCATACAGAGAGACGTAGGTTCTCCGGAACGGCGCCTTCCTATTCGCAGCGCTGAGAGCGGCAGCGTGCCGCCACTGTCCGTCAGAGCCCGATGTCCCCCAGCTGACAGGCACCTGGAGTATGTGGCAAGATAATCTGCTGAGCACAGGGGAAGAGCAGGCAAATGCAATTTTACACTCCCGAGGGGCCAGCTGTTACCTTTCACATGGTTACATATCTGATGTGCCTATTTGAAGCGACACGCAGGGACCCATTCAGGTAGCTACGCGTTTTTATCCAACCATTTTCAGCCCCTACTGGATCCTGGAAATGGCTACATTCACTACGGTTCACGCCCTTAACCCGCTATGCCACCTGTGTCCTGACAACAGATACTGACAAGAGAGATTTGCCAAGCTGATGCTCCTTCGAAGCTGAAAAAAAACCCAAAAAAAACGGAAAAGCTATTTTTCCTCATCAAAGTCGATGTCACAGAAAACCCCGCCTGGGTTATGTGTAAGTATTCTTAAGAAGGGGTGTGTTTAAGGGGCACTTGGGACTGGGATGTTAAAAACTTCACCAGTGTGACGTGGTGGAAAGAATCTCATGATTCTAAAACTTAAGAATTTGGTGTTAAGAAGACAGCTACCAAAAAGGGTTCGGCAAAAACCGCTGCTGAACTTCTTACCTCTGTTTGCCCACCTGCCGGCCCTAACAGGCGTAAACAGGCAGGGGGGGGGGGCTGCTCCATCACAACAAATGCTGTTTGACAGCCTGTAGGCAAAATGATGTCATACATCTGATAGGGAGGCAAAACCAGCGGCGCTGACGTCCTGCCCTCTAATTGGCCGCCCGTTGGCAAGCGGAGCGTGATGCCGCAGTCAACCGTGAAACCGGCGAAGTGGCGGCAGGCGATGCGTTTGTTGGGGGGAGGTGGGCGGGGGCTCTCCTGTCAGCCGCAGGGGCTGGATTCGCTCTGCCAGGTTTGAAGCAGCCGTCTCACACGCATGAGGGAGCACCACTGGCTGCCCGGGAAAGACCCCGGACACATGCTGCCAGGCCCCCGGCTTCATTACGGCTTATCCCCCCCCCCCCCCCCACCCGCTTCTCTCTACCTCTCTCCCCCAGCCACATGTTCGCAGAAATGTAAGAAAAAGCCTGACCGTGCTGACTAATAACGTTATCTCGGAAAACCCACTAATCCGGAGCCGGGGCCATTCTCACCGGGCATGTGATAACGGAAAATGGTTAATGGTTCAACCAGACCCTGTAGCCCTTAAGACACTGAGCCTGACACCTGGGGGGAAACAGGACCTGTAGCTAAGGGTACATTGGGCCTTGTAGACCGTAACACACTGAGACCAGGAGCTGAAGATAAACCAGGGCCTGTAGCTAAGTGTACATTGGGCCTTGTAGACTGTAGCACACTGAGACCAGGAGCTGAGGATAAACCAGGGCCTGTAGCCCTGTGATGATGTACAAAGAGACCTGTAGCTAATTTTACATTTAAGTAACCAAGGAGACCAGCATAATATAACCTGCATCTAAGGGTACACTTGTAGATATGGGTACAATGTGAGCCATATCTAAGGTCACAAAGCTTAATATTCAGGCAGTCCTGCAGTCAAGGCAAAATCTCGAACCCCCTGTAGCTCAGAGTTCAAACACAGCTGACATCACGCTGTGGCTGACGGGGACTTGTACGGCTCAGACACAAGTATCGGGGGAGACTTGAAGAACGTCCGCCAGACTGCCTTTGTTTCGCTGTGCAGTACCTAGCCGGCGTGTGTGTGCTTATTAGTGGCGTTGCAAACAAGTAAAACTTCAAAGACGTTCTTCAAGGCCGGCCACAGATCATCCTGCCCCCCCGTCAATTCCCCGCCCCTCTATCATGTCTGATGGCCCCCGAGAGCGGAGGACATGGCGCCCAAGGTGAGGGCGGATTTTAATTACACCCAAAAGGAGGGGGAGGGAACTCACTCCCGGGATGGGCTGTAGAAGCTGGCCCTCTCCTGACATACCACCTGGCCGGACGGGCTGCTGACAAGAAGACAGACCCCCCCCCCCCCATCCCCCCACCCCCAGTCTTGACCTTTAAACCTCACATGAACCACGTTCCAGCCTCCGCCCGTCCACCTGGGAACGCAGAGGCACAGATGCACGCAGTCACAGCTACTGTCTACGTGCTGAACAGACACAAGAGCAGAACTTCATAAACACTTTTGGCAAAGGGTCGACATCAGGATAATGGCAGAGAAGTTGCTCTTCCGGAACCCTGCTCACTACCCATAAGGCCTCACCAGCAGAGTCAAATTCACCCTGACGTTTCATCAAGGCGTGACCGTGCTGTTCTCAGCGGGAGCTCAGGAGCGCCCTCTGCCAGCAGCGCCGCGCGCTGCGTCGGATATTCACGGGCCCGAACAGCCGGGCGTGCGAATTAAAGGGGGGGACACTCACCGCTCAGCAGATCAGAGGTGGAGTACGGCAAGCTGTAGGTGCGGACGAGCTGCCAGTCAAAGTCGTCCTCCTCGCCCTGGCTGTACTCGCAGAGGCCGGGGTCCGAGTCCTCCTCGAAGGTGCAGCCAGCCGCTGGGGGGGGAGGGAGAGCGTCACCCGGGGGCCGCAATGTGGCAGCATCAGCATCCACCACAGATATTGGTGCTTCTAGCTTGTATGGCTTGTATCATTTTTATTAAGAAATTTGGAACTAGACAAATGAATAATGATAATTTTTTTAATTGATTTTACTAACTGAATTAGTATTGTACAGGAAGAATCAGGGGGCCCAATCCGACAGGTTTCACTGACCCACACGGTGAAATGATATCACTGATGTGACGTACAAATGAGCCGCCAGGACACCATTCACGCAAATGTCACAACCAAATTCTTTTTGTGCGGGCGCCACGTGTCGCCCCCCGGCAAGATGTCGCTCTGTGCAGCTGCCCATGTCATATTTACACTTTATTAATATTCAAAGGTATCAGCACCAGAGCTAAAGACACAACTACAGAAATAATGGAGATGATTAGCTTGGACGATCAGCCATTTTCCGCCGTGGAGGACGAGGGATTTCGTCAGCTCATTTCCTACTTAGAAGAGATCTCTAGGTACATCTGGCCCGCAGATTAATCTTTCATTTTCTACAGGTGCATCACTAACACAGTGAAATATCTGAACATAGACACAATAAATGCAAACTAAAAACTGTCCATACAATCACAAACGAAAACCAATTCACACTCTAACACCAGACAAAACATACTGAACACTCCAAAAAAACCCAAACACACATCCACTCTGGCATTTTAAGGCACATCCGCAGCCATCTCAGAGGTCATATCGTTTATAGCCGTAATAAGCAGTACGTTATATGAGATCCTGTCAGAACCAGCAGGTCCAAAGCTGATTTTCATGAATACCGTTTAATAAGCAGTTTATTCCCATTGTTGGGCTTTTGGCTGTTGCCCGTTAGCTGGCAGAAAGGGGAATTGTGAGCGTTGTTATCTGAAAGGCCTCCGGCAGCGACCAGGCGCAGGGCGATGCACTAACTACAGCACTGACCTTCAGGCAGCAGCCAGTGACCGAGGTAGCGGGCCATTCTGTTCCTGCAGACACACACACACACACACACACACACATGCACATGTCTGGTAAACATATCTTTATGGGGACTGCTCATTCACTTCCATGGGAAAAATGCTAACGCTAACTATGACAACCTTAACCCCTACCCAGCCCTAACCACAACCCATAACCATAAGTAACCAAGCAAAATACAAGACTTTTTGCATTCTTAGTTTTTTCATTGCAGTCAAAGATTTTTATTAAATTGAAACTGGTCCCCATAAGGGAAAAAAAAACTGGTATTCATCACGTTGTGGGGACATTGTGTCCCTATAAGGTGAGGTATACCTGCTCGCACACACACACACACACACACACATACACGTGGTTTACAGAGGCCAGCAGTTTCAGCCCGGTCTGGTTGTGCCAATACTTTGATTTAAAAAGCTGATGTTGAAAGGTAAATACCACAGGGTGGCATTGGGTCAAATTAATAGGGTAGGTTTTAAGGATTTAGAGCGAGATGAGACAATTCTGATGGCAAACAGAGTGGCGTGATAAGACGTGTTTTAGGGGAACTGGAAAGTCATCGAGCCTTACGGAGTCGCCAGTGACCATGCCTGTTATTGTGCTGTTTGCATTTGCAGCCACAACCAAGCTGCAAGCTAAATCTGCTCTACAGTGAGTGAGGGAGGTCCAGGCTTTCAATGAACCACTTTTATTTACAGATCGTTCTGATTCACCAGATATGAGCTTTTTTTTTTTAACGCGTAGCTCCACTCAGTTTCTCTTGTTTTTCGATTTCTTACTATCCAACAACCAGCATCTCCCGAAGTTACATTTCCTGACAGTGAGCAAACAGTTCAGCAGCAGAACCAATACAGAAGTCAGTGCTATATTTACCAGTAAACCTGATACAGACAATCTACCAGCAGAACCGGTGTAGAAGCCAGTACCATATACCCTAGGAGAGTGGCTGATATTCCTGCTTTGGGAATCTGCTTCTAGTGAACAGAGAAATGGATGGAGATGCCAATCACTGCATTACACCCAGGAATGGGTGGAGACCCCATCACTGTATCGCACCCAGGAATTGATGGAGACACCATCACTGCATCGCACCGAGGAATGGATGGAGACGCCATCACTGCATCGCACCCAGGAATGGATGGAGACGCCATCACTGCATCACACCCAGGAATTGATGGAGACGCCATCACTGCATCACACCCAGGAATTGATGGAGACGCCATCACTGCATCACACCCAGGAATGGATGGAGATGCCATCACTGCATCACACCCAGGA